CCCACACAGGGCCTCCCACACAGGGCCTCCCACGCCAGGCCTCCCCACACCAGGCCTCCCCACACAGGGCCTCCCCACACAGGGCCTCCCACGCCGGGCCTCCCACGCCGGGCCTCCCACACCGGGCCTCCCCACGCCGGGCCTCCCACGCCGGGCCTCCCCACACAGGGCCTCCCACACAGGGCCTCCCACGCCAGGCCTCCCCACACCAGGCCTCCCCACACAGGGCCTCCCACGCCGGGCCTCCCCGCGCCCCACGGACATGCAGGCCTGTGTGTGCGCAGGCCCACGTTGCTACATCCCATCCACTCGGGGACACGGGCACCCTCTCCTGTAACTCACTTCCCCTGCTCTGTAAAGGGTCTGGCTGGTCTCTCTACTGGGGTGGAAAATTTCACGTATTTAAAAACATTTACTCTAGGGCTGGGAAGGTGGCTCAGTGTCTGTAGAGCGCTCGCCTCGCATGCATGAGGCCCTGGGTTCAATTCCTCAGCACCCAGAAGCAGAAAAGGCCAGAAGTGGCGCTGTGGCTCAGGTGGTAGAGCGCTCGCCTTGAGCTGAAGAGCTGAGGGACAGCGCCCAGGCCCCATGACCGGCAAAAATAAAATCATTTACTCTAAAAAAATACACATGACTTTTATAAAAACAATTAAAGACCCATGAAATGAAAAAAAAAAAAATCCCGAAGAGTCGCACTGAGTTGAAGACATTTTGGAAACATCTTAGTGAACTGCACTTCACGTCCGTTTTCCTTTTATGTGAATATATATGAGAATGCGGGGTGACTAAAACATGTATAACTGAATATGTGTAAAAGTGTTCTGTCAACAGTCTAAAATAAAAAGTTCTTAGGTAATAAGCATCATAAGTAAGTAAGTAAGTACAACCTAAAAAGTGTTTCCAGTACCAGGCACCGGTGGCTCACGCCTGTCATCCTAGCTGAGATCTGAGGATCGTGGTTCAGGCAGGAAAATGCAGGAGACTCTCATCTCCAATTAAGCACCAAAAAAGCAGGAAGTGGAGCTGTGCATCAGCCTTCAGTTGTAGAGCTCAAGGACAGCGCCCAGGCCCTGAGTTCAAGCCTCCAGGACCAGCACAACAGCAACAGCTTCCAGACTGGCAGGTGTGTTGGCTCCCACCTGTAATCCCAGCCACCGAAAAAGTTGGGAGTCTGGGAAGCCATCCTAGCTACGTGGGGAGTTTAGACAGGAGGATCACTGTCTGAGGCTGGGCCTGGAGGACCCTATCTGAAAAACAACTACAGCCAAGACAGGCTGGGGCAGAGCGCAAGTGGCAGACCACAAGGTCCAGAGTTCAAACCCCGGTATCACCAAACCTAAAAACGCAGATGGTAGATAGACAGACAGATAGCTATGGATGGATGGATGGATAGCTATTTCCAGTTCCTCTCCTCCTTGTGAACTTTCTAGACCCTTCTAGAATATAACTAAAGAGTCATGTCCAAGTCCTCCCTCCCTCCTCCCCGCCCCGCCCCCAGGCCTCCTGGAGCCTCGGAGCCCCACCTGGCAGTAATGGATGTCCACTTCATCCTGAGACTTGCAGTCTCCCACTTTGATGTACTTCACGCTGGCCGTGACGTCCCGACAGTCCACCTCCTCGCCTAGGGGACAAGCGAGAGACGGGGCGTGGGGGAAACTGAGGCTCTGAGCGCAGAGGCATCTGAAGAGAAGCCTGCTTCACGTCTGGCAAGCCAGCTCCGTGGCTTCTGGCCCCCCTGACTCCCAGGTCGCCATGACTGCAGGGCCGTTGTAGTTGCCGACGGACTGTGCGCCAGCCATGGTATGTGGAGGAGCCTTGCGTTCATCTAATTGTCCTCTTAAAATGCATCCTAACGATGTTAATTATTCCCGGAAGCGAATGGACAATGAAGCAACCTGCCAAGAACCGGGGACAGGCCCATGCCAGGACCAGCTCTGCGAGGCCGGGAGCCCTGGACGCAATTCTGGGGTCCTCCCCACTGGGTCTCGTCTTTCAGGGTGGTTTGGTTACAGCACCTGCAGGGGTAGCCAGCTCCAGTGGCTCACGCCTGTAATCCCAGCTTCTCAGGAGGATCAGGTGGGAGGATGCTGGGCAAGGAAGCCCATGAGACTCTGATCGCCCGTGAACTACGGGGCGCCAGGGCCCAAGTGGTGAAGCGCTAACCTGGAGCACAAAAGCTCAGGGGCAGTGCCCAGGCCCTGAGTTCAAGCCCCAGGACTGGGAGTATGTGAAGTAATCCCTGTTTTCCCTCTTCTTTCCTAGACTAGAAAAGCAATCACAAACAAAATCATATTAAGTGAAGAAAAACAATCGTGAGCCCATGAATGCAAAACACAATAAGAGCCAAACAAGTAAGTCAAATAGAAACGAAAGGGGAAAAAGAGAGAGAAAGGAACCAAAAAAAATTAGCCTGGGCAGGTGATTCTACATTCTTGTGTTCATGAACAGGAGAAGGTGCTAGAGCACTGCCTGGCTCTGCGGGGAGCGTTAGAGATGGTCAGTACCGCCCCACCACTAGGTCAACCACAAGGTCAAGAGCAACCAAGAGTCAGAAAGAGAACCGAGACTTCCCGGCCTGTGGGTCTTTCAGAAGACGCTCTCCGCTTTCTGCAATGCAGGGTACACAGTAGGTAGACAGGGCACACAGTAGGTAGACAGGGCACACAGTAGGTAGACAGGGGACACAGTAGGTAGACAGGAGACACAGTAGGTAAACAGGAAACACAGTAGGTAGGCAGGGCACACGGTAGGTAGACAGGAGACACAGTAGGTAAACAGGAAACACAGTAGGTAGGCAGGGCACACGGTAGGTAGTCAAGGAACATGGTAGGTAGACAGGGCACATAGTAGGTAGACAGGGGACACAGTAGGTAGGCAGGGCACACAGTAGATAGAAAGGGAACATGGTAGGTAAGCAGGGCACACGGTAGGTAGACAGGGCACACAGTAGGTAGACAGGGAATACAGTAGGTAGGCAGGGCACATGATAGGTAAGCAGGGCACACAGTAGGTAGGCTGGGCACACAGTAGGTAGACAGGGCACACAGTAGGTAGGCAGGGCACACAGTATGTAGTCAGGGTATGCAGTAGGTAGACAGGGCACACGGTAGGGAGGTAGGGCACATAGTAGGTAGACAGGGCACATGATAGGTAAGCAGGGCACATGGTAGGTAGGCAGGACGCACAGTAGGTACGCAGGGCACACAGTAAGTAGGCAGGGCACACAATAGGTAGGCAGGGCACAGAGGAGGGGAGGGGCTCCAGACGGGGGAGGGGAGGGGCTCCAGAGGCTGCCTGGAGGCCTTGCACGGACTGACGAGCAAGGGGAAGCCAACTGCTCAGCGCGGGCCCCGACCTAACGGCCGGCCGGGGATGCTCACGTGGTATTTACTATGTACTGAACAGGTTTTTATTAACTATTTAATAAATTGTTCATTTATATTAAATGCCTTATTTCTAAACTACCTCTTACATATGCTAAATATTATATATTAATGTAGTCCTTATATTATCTCTATTTAGAGTATCTATATTTTATATATTTATATACTACATAATATACAATGTATGACATCTTACATATATTATGTATATTAAATATTGTTATTTACTGCTGATTAATGGCTAGTTACGTATTATATAATCATTAGTTGATGATTCATGTCGGTCGTGGGGCTTGAACTCCGGGCCTGGGTGCTGTCCCTCAGCTCTTCAGCTCGAGGCGGGCGCTCTACCCCTTGAGCCACAGCGCCACTTCCGGCTTTCTGGTGGTTTACTGAGTTAGAATTTCATAGCCTTTCCTGCCCGGGCTGGCTCTGAACCGCGATCCTCAGATCTCAGCCTCCTGAGTAGCTGGGATGACAGGCGTGTGCTACGAGCACCCAGCTGAATTGATTTTTCCTTTTTCTGGAACAGGACCCATGCCCAGGCCGGGCTCCGCACCTGAGGACATACTTACAAGTGTCACAGCAGGTCCCTGGGATTTTCATGATCTTCCCCTGGGAAAACACAGAGATAGGAAAGGTCACGTGGGCTCTGGCAGCTCCCAGGTGAGCCCGCCGCCCACCTCACCCGGCCACGCTCAGACAATTCTGATTGGCTGCTGCTCTTCTTGTTGTGTGGGGAGGTTTTTGTTGTTGTTGTTGTTGTTTATTGTGTTCCTAGGCTTCAACTCCAAACTGGGCCAACTGACTTAAGACAGGCGCTCTACCACGTGAGCCACACCTCCACTCCCAGCTTTTTGCTGGTTGGAGATTAAGAGTCTCACAGACTTTCCTGCTGGCTTTGAACCTGGATTCTCAGGCCTCAGCCTCCTGAGTGGCCAGGACTGCAGGCGCCGCCCTGATGGGTTTGAATTCTCTCCCAACAAGTCACCAGGCTCATTATCCCCAGGGACCCTGCAGCCAGCTCCGCCTCTCAGCTCCTCCCCCAGGTGACCGAGCCTGCCTCCCGCAAGTGAAGGATTCCTTCATTTATCTATTTGGCAACACCTGTGGGGGGCTTAAACCCAGGGGCCCCCACTTGCTAACCAGGAGCTCTACCAGTTGAGCCATGGCTCCAGCCCCTTTATGCTATTTTTTGCCCAGCAGGGCCTGGACCATGATGCTCCTATTTATATTTCCCACCATGGCTGGGATGCCAGGCAGGCACCAACAAGTCCAGCTTTTCTGTTGAGATGGGGCCTTGTGAACTCCTCTGACTGAGAGAATTGCAACCCCACTACCTTAGCAGCTGGTGCCGGGGAAAGATGCTTTCTTGAACACTCAATAGATCAGGGAACCTCTCTAACCAACGCTAACCTCTAACCAACTCTAACCTCTCTCTAACCAACTCTAACCTCTCCCTAGCCAACTCAATTTGGTCAGTCTATCTTCTATTTTCTTTTTGTCAGTCATGGGGCTTGAACTCTGGGCCTGGGTGCTGTCCCTCAGCTCTTCAGCTCAAGGCGAGCGCTCTACCACTTGAGCCACAGCGCCACTTCTGGTTTTCTGGTGGGTTATTGGAGATAAGAGTCTCACGAACTTTCCTGCCCGGGCTGGCTTTGAACTGTGATCCTCAGCTCTCAGCCTCCTGAGTAGCTGGATGACAGGCGGGAGCCACCAGTGCCTGGCTTCATCTGATCTCACACCGAATAAGAGGTCTGGCCTTGTGCACAATGAGAATTCTGTCCCAGGTGTCAAGGACGGACAGGTGGAGGCGGAGGCGGGGGTGAGCTGGGACTACTTACGCCCTCTGCCAGGCATCGGTGCTCGTCGAAGGGCGGGCATCTGGTGACCCTCTTCTCCCAGATGAACTCCCCCCGCTCGTTGACTCTGCAGAAGTGGCTGTCGCAGCCGTCCTGGACGGTCTCGTCCCGCTGAAAGGCCGTGCGGGAGAGGGCGGGGCAAACACAGAGCCTGCGTCACAACGCTACGGCAAACCCCCCGCTCTCCAGGCATCAAAGAAAAACCATGGGACAGGCCCATCCTGGCGGCCATGCCTTCCTCCCAGCTACTCAGGAGGCTGAGCTCGGAGGATCGTGATTCAAAGCCAGCCCGGGCAGGAGAGCTGATGAGATCCTTCTCTCCAATGAACCACCAGAAAACCAGAAGTGGCGCTGTGGCTCAAACGGTAGAGAGCTAGCCTTGAGCAGAAGAGCTCAGGGACAGTGGCTAGGCCCCGAGTTCAAGCCCCAGGATGCACAAAAGAACAACAATCACAACTCAGGGATAAAACAATGTAGATAAAACACCCATGCCCAGAACACAGCAGAGCGGACTCTGTGTTTCCCAATGCAGTCACTACAAACAGCGACCCCTCCGTCTACTGTGGCCACACAGCCAGTGACTAGTGAGTCAAGGAAGGAGACGAGCCAGCACCCCCCCCCGCCCCGCACCCAGCCCCAGCACCCCGCTGGGCCCACCCTGATCGCCTGTCCAGGTCCCACAGATTCTCAAGACTAGAAAAATGATTATCAAAGATTATCCAACATGGGGTCCTACAGCCACTGCACCCTGAGCAGCCAACAAAATAACCCAATCGGGGGCGGCCCGGGGATTCCGGAAGCCACTCAGCTGCTCTGTGTGACACGAGGAAGAAGTAGAGGAGAGAAGGCATCTCACACACACACACACACGCACGCACACGCACACACACATGCACACATGCACACACGCGTACACACAGACGCACACACACATGCATGCACACACACGCACACACATGCACACACACACGCACACACACACACGCACACACACGCCCTGGGAGGAGAGCAGGTCGGCTGTGATCCAGGCTGCGCCTCACCTTCAGCGCCAGGACCTGTCCTCCTCGCAGCCGGATGGTGCAGGCCGAGGGCCGACACCGTCCACAGCACTCCCCCTGGCCCTTCTCCTCCAGGTAACCCTGCATCCGGGGGAGGCGGGGATCACAGTCAGCCTTCCAGAACATTCCAATCACAGAGGGACTGCCACTGCTGGCTTCCCATCTCTCCTTCCCCAGGGTCTGAGAGCGCCAACAACCCCCCCTAGCCAACTTCCATCCACTCCAGCACACCCCTCCCCAGCACCCCTCCCTCCCTCCTCCTATGCACACCACACACTGTCGCGGTCCCATCTATTAACCTCAACCCCACGCTGACAAGTGCAGGTGTTCATCCTGTAGTCAACTCCACACTTGGGTCAAAACCTGAACGCTTTATGAAACCCTTTGTACATCACCTTAGACTAGGGCCCTTTAAAGCCTAGCCACCCAGGAGGCTGAGATCTGAGGATCGCGGTTCAAAGCCAGCCCAGGCAGGAAAGTCCATGAGACTCTGATCTCCAAAGAGCCGCCAGAAAACTAGAAGTGGCGCTGTGGCTCAAAGTGGCAGAGTGCTCGCCTTGAGCAAAAGAGCTCAGGGACCGTGCCTAGGCCCCAAGTTCAAGACCCACAACTGACAAAGAAGAAAAATAAGAGTCTCAGACTTTCCTGCCTGCGCAGGTTCAGACTTCAAACCCCAGGACTGGCACAAAAATAACTAAATAAATCTAAAATAATTTTATTTTAAATGATAAAACTAGTTTTTAGCCCACCAAACTAGATCCTGATCAGACTTACATTATGGAAGTAATTCAGAATTTGAACCACCATCAGCACAAAAAAAAAAAGCCAGATCAACTAGTGTAAGCCACTTCAATGTCCAATACTGAAAATCTGGTTGTATATCATAAGGTGATTAATTAGTCAAGAGAATGCTATGTTGATGAGCACCCAGAGCAGAGCCTGAAAGGCAGCTGTTGACTAATTGTGTGTGTGTGTGTGTGTGTGTGTGTGTGTGTGTGTGTGTGGTCATGGGTCTTGAACTCAGGGCCTGGGCGCTGTCCCTGAGCTCTTCAGATCAAGGCTGGCGCTCTACCACTTGAGCCACAGCACCACTTGTGGTTTTCTGGTGGTTCATTGGAGATCAGAATCTCACAGACTTTCCTGCCTGGGCTGGCTTTGAACCTTGATCCTCAGATCTCAGCCTCCCGAGTAGGTAGGATGACGGGCGGGAGCCACCAGCGTCCAGTGAGATGTTTCTTAAAAGACACTAAGCTGTAACCGTAACATCACCTATCTGCCAACAGAAGGTTGGTTTGGAAGACACTGCGGGAGGATGTTGAAAAGTGCAGGACTAGATTGTAACTATCCCTCAGGGACGCCATGCGGGAGGGGGCTGCTCATCGCTTTCTCAGGGATGCCATGCGGGAGGGGGCTGCTCATCGCTTTCTCAGGGACGCCATGCGGGAGGGGGCTGCTCATCGCTTTCTCAGGGACGCCATGCGGGAGGGGGCTGTTCATCGCTTTCTCAGGGACGCCATGCGGGAGGGGCTGCTCATCGCTGCCTGGTTCTTGGCAAGGATCTTCTGTAATCACCGGGGGGCAGGCCTCACAGGTGGTCTTCGTGCACTCCAGCTTGAAGCCCCGGACAGCCCCCGGCTGCGTGGAACAATGGCAGGTGGTGCACACATCCACCATTACGCTCTTCCCCGGCTGGAAGCAGAGGACCCCGGATCAGGCAACTCACACGTGCCAGTCCCCGCCCACCACATCCCCTGCAGCCAACCCCGTGCTGGCTCTTGGCAGCCTCCCCCTCTGCTCAAGGAGGAAAGATGGTCACCCCAGGAGGCGGCCAGGGTAGGGGGATGAGGGTCAGTTAAGAGCATGTGGTCAGCCAGCACTGGTGGCTCACGCCTGGAATCCCAGCTACTCAGGAGACTGAGATCTGAGGATCCTCTGTTTGAAGCCAGCCATGAACCAGCATCAAGGCCGGAAGTAGAGCTTGTGGCTCAAAGTGGTAGAGCACCAGCCTGGAGCAAAACAGCTCAGGGGCAGCACCCAGGCCCTGAGTTCAAGCCCCATGACCGGCACGAGGACTTCAGAGTACTGCTGTGTGTGCAGAGCACGCTCCACATGCCTGGGGCTGAGGCCAGGGGTGAGGGCAAGGCGGAAGGGCCAGGCCCCAGAAGGTCCTACCTGGCGGGAAGAGCCCCCAAGTTCCCTTCTACTTGACCCTGTGTCCCCCTCATCCCTGCACCCGCCACCGCTGGCTCCAGGTCAAAGGTCAGCCACTCACCCCGATGATGGTGCTGTTGAGCACGCAGGCCTCCATGGGCTCTGGGGTGGGGGGACAGAGAAAGCAGCAGTGAGTGTGTGCAGGCCCTCCCCGGCCAGCCTGTGAGCCCCTCCGATCTTGCCCCCATCCTAGCCTCCCGACACTGTCTGCTGGCCCTTCCCACCCACCCCTGGGTACGGCGGTCCTTCTGGAGAGGCGCAGGGCCAAGGTGGAGGTGGGGCTCCGACCCCACCCCAGCCCAGGAGGAGGGCGAAGGGTGGCACTTGCTTGAGTGTGCACGTGGGGGGAAGAGGTGGATGAGGCGTGGGTTTGTGACAGACAGCAGTTCTACCCTGGGAACTTTTAGTCCCTGGAGAAATGAGCGTGAGGAAGAAGCAGAGGGTGGAGCGAGCTGCGTTTGCTGGTGGTCATTTGTTCTTCTATTATCAGGCCATAGCAAGTGGAAATCCCTCCCCCAGGAGAGAAGGAGGCTGTGATTGGACAGGTGGTCTCCAGGTGAGAGGGCAGCTGTGACTGGGCAAGTAATGTTCAGAATCAGTGAGAGGATGGCTGTGATTGGACAGTTAGTCTCCAGAATGAGGTGACAGGGTGGCTGTGATTGGACAGGTGGTCTCCAGAATGAGTGAGAGGAGGGCTGTGATTGGACAGGTGGTCTCCAGGTGAGAGGGTGAGAAGATGGCTGTGATTGGACAGGTGGTCTCCAGAATGAGTGAGAGGGCAGCTGTGATTGGACAGATGGCCTCCAGAATGAGAAGCCAGGGATGGAACCCCAGGCTTCCCACCCAATAGGAACATGGGAGGCACAGGGAGAAGGGCAGGAAGCCATCGTTCACCCCCAGAGCTGGGCAGGTGGCAGCCTCCCTCGGGAAATGGTCCTTTTTGTGTCCGAGTTTGCTCTCACACAAATGCACCAGGATCCGCTGCGAAGTGGGAGGCTGGGGGGTCGCTGGGGCTTGCGCTCATCCTCAGGGCGGTCCCTGAGCCATACCTCTACTTCTGGCTTTTTGCTAGCTCCCTGGAGATAAGAACCTCCCACCGTTTTCTACCCAGGCTGGCTTTGAACCGTGAGCCTCGGATCTCAGCCTCCTAAGTAGTTAGGATTACAGGGGTGAGCGACTGGTAGCTGGCTTGGATGGGAACGTCTCCACCCTGCCCACCCCGTTTCCCTGAAGCATTCAGGAGCCAGAAGAGGAGCGGGGCCTGATGGCAGGCGCAGGCCCGGCTCCGGGGGGCGCTGCGGGCGCATCTTACCACAGCGGCAGCTGGGGCAGCAGGCTGAGGTCTCACAGCTCAGCTGGAAGCCCGTGGGGCAGGTGGGGACGTCCAGCGGGGGGCAGGACACGTTGCTCTGCTGCACGAAGACCTCCTCGTTCACGCGGACACACTGGTTGATGAGGCACGGGTTCTCCTGGGCGGCCCAGCGAGTACCGACCTGCAGAGCACCGGGGGCCGGCAACCGTGACGCACGGGCTGGGGCCTGCCTTCCCGTGCCTGGGTGCTGTTCTCACCCGCTTCTTGTGCCCTGGTGGTCCACCGCTCATCCAGGAGCTAAGCCTCACCCCCGGGGAGATAAACAGAGCTCTTCCCACAAGGGCCGCCCAGGGAGCCTGGGTCAGCCTTGAAGAGCCCTCACCCGGAGGCCGCAGCCTCTGATTGGTTCTGACTCTGGGGCTCTGGGGCTTCTGGATGAGAGGCAGGAAAACTGACAGAACAGGGCGGAAGGTTACACATGACAAGAAAGATCCACCAATGGATCTGAAGGGGAAATGGAACGTCATCCAGAAAACGCAAGGCGTCATTCACTGGCTAACACTGAGGAAGAAACCCCTGGGTCTGTGAGGGTCAGGAGAGGTAACTCGGCCCCCTCCTGTTGGACACAGGAAGGCCCACACGGGCACCTCACATTCACCCAGCGCCTGCCCCTGGAGGTGTCCCCCCAGCTCAGAATGGGACAGGAGGCAAAGCAATATCCTCATCCTGGCATCCAGACCAAAACTCCCCGACATGGAATCCTTGAGTTTAGGAAAATGGCAGACAGGCAAGCAAATGAGCGCCGGCAGGCAGGTCGCAGAGGAAGGAATTGGAAGTGGACGGAGCCAGGCACAGGTGGCTCACGCCTGTCATCGCAGCTACTCGGGAGGCTGAGATCTGAGGATTGTGGTTCAAAGCCAGCCCGGGCAGGGAAGCCCATGAGATTCTGATTTCCAGTAAACCACCAGAAAACCGGACGTGGCGCTGTGGCTCAAGTGGTAGAGCACTAGCCTCGAGCTGAAGAGCTGAGGGACAGCGCCCAGGCCCCACAAAAAAAAGGGGGGTAGAAGGAGAGGGCAAGAGTGAGATGACGGAAGAGTCCAGAAACAAGACAAGTCACACCGGCCGGACCCACAGAGTCAGGCCGGACTCCCAGGAGAGTGGCGCTGTTCGCCGCTCTGCGTGACACCTCTCCAGGCCCCTAAAGCCACCAGGGAGGCTTCAGTGGCAATCCCCGTGAAGCCTGGGGCCTGGGCCGTGAGGCTCATGGAGCTTCAGGGGGGGGGGGCTGTGGGCTTCTCCCCAAATCCACAGTATGCAAATGCAAGAGGGCCATAGCCAGTCCCGAGGGGGGGGGGTAAGGTAATCACAGCTGGCCTCCAGGCAACACCATCAGCTTTGCTAACCTCCTCCCCACGGGGGAAGCAAAAGGCATGGAGGAGAAGCCAAGGGCCGCATCTGACCACCGCCCGCACCCCCAGGCTTGGCGTCACGGTCCCCGCCCCAGGGGCCCCACGTACGCTCTTCCAGGAAGACTGCGCGTCGCCCCGCGGGGAGCCGTCCATCACCTCGCAGGCGGACGGCAGGCAGCGCCCACAGCAGTCACCTTCATGGAGGACGTAGGAGAAGCCCTGGAAGGCAGGAGGAGCACAGGCAGCAGCCGGGACACGGGCCCCACCCGCGCGCCGGGCCCGGGATTGGTGGGCAGTGCGGATAGACGCTTTCATCTCTGCTGTCGCCCAGTCTCAGACTGTGCCGACAGTCAGAAAACACCAGCCACGGTCCCTGGCCCAGGCCCACGTCTGCTGCAGAGGCTCCCTGGGCCTCTGGAACATTCCATGTTGAAACCAACACAGTGTACAGGAGCTCTAAAAAGAGCCCAGAGTGCTGGGTGCCAGTGGCTCCCGCCTGTCATCCCAGCTACTCAGGAGGCTGAGATCTGAGGATCACGGTTCAAAGCCAGCCTGGGCAGGAAAGTCCATGAGAATCTGATCTCCAGTAAACCACCAGAAAACCAGAAGTGGAGCTGTGGCTCAAGGGGTAGAATGCCAGCCTTGAGCTGAAGCACTCAGAGACAGTGCCCAGGCCCAGAGTTCAAGCCCCACGACCAACAAAAAAAAGAGAGCAAGCCTAGAGTTCACACAGCATGGCCAACCAACTCAACCTTGGCCACAGTCAGATCTAGGCCACCACGCTGACCAAGAGTGTGCAAGATGCCCAGGTCTGGTCTCTGCTCTGATAGGGCTTCTGCCTGCACAGGTGAACAGCTTGACCCCAGCACCCCTCACCATGTGTGAACTATAAGCAAGCCCCATTTGGCCACTACAGTGAAAGCCCAGTCAACCAGCCTGAGGCGCTATGGAAGGTGATAGAACCGTCAGGAGGTGGGGCCCAGCAGAAGGAAGTTAGGTCATTGGGGTGGGGCCTGGCAGGAGGTGGGGCCTAGCGGTAGGCAGTAGGTCATTGGGGGCGGGCCTAGCTGGAGGTGGGGCCTAATAAGAGGAAGTTATGTCACTGGGAGTGGGGCCTAGCAGGAGGAGGCAGGGCTTAGTGGGAAGAAGTTAGGTCACTGGGGAGGAGCCTAGGGGGAGGATGTTAGATCTTTGGGGGTGGGGCCTAACAGGAGAAGCGAGAGGAAGTTAGGTCATGGTGAGAGCTAAAGGAGATCTGGAAACCTTAGCCTTGTCCCCTCCCCAGCTCCCCCTGCCCCTCTGCTTCTGCTCTACCACACATTGCCCACCATGTTGTTCGCATCTCCACAGGCCCACAAGCAAAGGCGTAGCCAGCCACCGACTGAATCCTTTGAAACCAGGAGTCAACATCAATGTTTCCTCCTTCTGAGCTGATTCCCCCTGGCTACTTTGTCATGGCTGTGAACAAGAAACCTGCAGCACACCACACTGTAGAGACAGGCCCCTCCTGAGATCTCTCGCTTGAGATCTGGCCAGGGTTTAAAGACCATGGCATTCTTTACAAAGTAAAAGGGATACGTGGAAGTGGAGCTGTGGCTTGAAGTGGAAGAGCACTCACCTTGAACAAAACAGCCCAAGGAGGGCAGCCAGGCTCTGAGTTCAAGCCCCACCACCAGCAAAAATAAAATGAAATAAAAATAAAAGCAAAAATGGTATGTAATGTGAGGGTAAGTAGGATGGGAGAGGAAATAATGGGGGACAACAATGGAAGAGGTGACACTGACAATTGTAGTCATAACCTAATAATAGTAATATTACTATTAATAATAATCTTTGTTCAGCTGCTTGATAACAAAATAAAAGATAATAAAAAGGATGCATCATATTAATAACCTGACTTGTGAAATTGTAACCTCTTTGTACAACTACTTAATTTTTCTTTAAAGCAACATGGGTGAGGAGGTCCTAGGGCCTAGCAGGAGGCGGGGCCTAACGAGAGGAAGTTAGGTGATTGGAGGCAGTAGGTGTGTCCCCAGGAAGTCTGACAGGAAACCAGCATCCTGGGAATCTCTCCGCCTAACTCGCCACCTCTTGGAGGTCCTCTCGTCTGCCCACTGCATTAGGATCATGCAGTTGTCTCAGGAGCCAGGGGAAGACTCGAGCTTGCAGCTGAGTCCTTAGGAGAGAAGGCCTAGCTGGCCGCCCTACACCATTCCCCAGGCACAGGCAGGAGCAGAACCAAAGCCGAAGAGACACCAGAGGCGCACAGCACCGCCCCCCTGAGGGAGCCCCGCTGCCGTCCCCCAGAGACTCAGCGGGAGTTCACACCCTCTCTCCGGGACTCGCTCACATCCCTACCCACGTCACCGGAGCCCTCCTGCAGCCCAAGCTCCGGGCATGTACTGCGCATGCATGAGCTGCGAGGGACTGCAGAGTTGTGGATACGTCCAGACAACAAGATCTCCATCCCTCCACTGCCGGCCAGACACCTGAGACGCTCGTGAAAGAGATGAGGGTGCCAGAGCACCCTGGAGAGAGTAAGGAACGCTTTCGGAGCCCCTAGAGCCTCTCCTGAGGCCTCTATGCACGTCGAGCAGCGGGGGGGGGGGAAGGGGGGCGTTGCTTCTCCATGGATGCATGCAATGATGCACCTCATCAGTTCCTGATCAGAGCCCCCCCACATCCCATCCTGCACGCCTAAGTCCACCTCCCCCTCCCAGGACACCCACCCACTCCCTCCCCCAGCCAGTGTGGTCCCCCTTTATTTCCATTTTCTTTCTTTCGACTCCCCCCTGCAAAACCCTGCAGCATGGATGAGTAACACTTGGTATGTCGTGTCCAGTGGGCCTCCTGGACCACCCACTGGACCACCAGCTGCGATGAAGCTGGCACACTTGTTTGCCTAGGCTGGACCTGGGCAGAGCTCTCCCCACCCCCACCTCCCAAGAAGCTAGAATTACAGGAGTGTGCCGCCATGCCCGGACTGGATGAATAGCTTCATGAGCTATGGGAGGTGGCAGAAGTGTTAGGAGGTGGGGATTATTAGTTAGTGCAAGCTCTCTCTCCCTCCCTCCCTCCTCTCCTTTTTTCCCTCTCCCTCTCTCCCTCCCTCCCTCCCTCTCTGCCCCCCACCCCCACTCACGGGCCGGCAGCCGTCCTCGTCCTCGCAGGGCTTCGGGGAGCACCAGGCCGTGCGCAGGCCCGTCACCACGTCCTCTGCATCCGTGCACGTGCACAGCGTGCAGCCCTCCTCCCAGACCTGGCCCACGGGGTACACGGTGCCTCGGTGGACACACACCTGGAGACACAGAGGCTCCGTGAGTGAACGAGCCGCTTCACAGGTCTCCCCCGTGGGGGACGCTGCAGCTGCTGAGCACAGGTGGCGCGGCCATGCGCCCTCGTCTTCATCCTCCTCCCTTCGTGCCCCCAGCCCTGCAGACCCTCGCTCGTCCACACGGCTGGTCCCGCGTGGCTCCAACAGGACACGCCTGCTGCCTTCATCCCCTGGACTCGCTGCCTTCCATGAGCGTATTTCTGTGTCCCACAAGAGAAGCTGGGACAAACTCACGCCCCAGCCTCAGACCTGACGCAGGAAGGCCATGGGCCGTGGGGTGGGGGAGGGACATTAATGCCCCATATGCACTCCAAAGCCGTCCAGAGACTCCCATGTGCTCTCATTATTCATGCCCTCAGTCTCTAGCCTCTCTGTCATAAAGTTACTGGAAGAGACACATGTTGCTTCTCTTTGGAAAGGCATTGAGCTGAGCACTGTGGCTCACGCCTCTAATCCCACCTTCTCAGGAGGCTGAGATCTGAGAATCACGGTTCAAAGGAAGCCTGGGCAGGAAAATTCCTCAGATTCTTATCTCTGATGAACCAGGAACTAAACCAGAAGTGGGGCTGTGACTCAAGAGGTAAAGCACCAGTCTTGAATGAAAAGACTCAGGGACAGCACTCAGGTCCTGAGTTCAAGCTCCAGGACCAGCACCCCAAAAAAAAGTCTTTTGAAAAAACTGTTTCCCAGTCTGCAGAAAAAAGCTTTTCTCTGAAGGTTTTCAGCCGCCTGGCTCCTCACATGGAGAGCCTTCTAGTTAGACTATCCTGTGGTCCTAGGAGCTCTGCCCTGTGCACAGAACTGAGCTCTATGAAGGTACCAGCCCTAGCTTGGCGCTGTGGCGCAAGCCTGTAATCCAAGCCACTTGGGAGGTGGAGATGGGGTGGGGAGTTGGGGGGGGTGGTCACCATGTGAGGCCAGCCTGGTCAGAAATATGTTTGTGAGACTTCATCTCAACCGATGGCTGAGCACTGTGCAGCACGCCTGCTCTCCCTGCTTTGGGGGGGGGTGGCTGGGTGCGATGGCCTGCACCTGTCACCCTCACCCCCTCACCATGCCCATTCCCACATGGAGGAGGCCGGCACCCCAGGTGGGCCGGGCAACAGAGAGACCCTGCAGATGGACAGAGAGAGGCGGGAGAGCCAGGACAGACATCCTATGGATGTGTCCAAGGGTAAAAGTAGAGCTTGAAGGATTGAAGAGGGGGTGGGATGGGGAGAGGGGGGGGAGGGGGGGGGGGGGGGGGAGTGGGGAGAGGGGGGGAGGAGGAGGGAAGGGGTGGTGGGGATCATGCACTGTACCCACAACCTGACATCTGGAATTGAGACTCCTTTGTGCAACTACTTAAAGATAGTAAAACAAATAAGGAAAAGGGGAAGGGGGAGGGAGAGGGGAGGAGGGAAAGAGGGAGGGGAGGAGGAAGGGGAGGGGAGGGGAGGAAGGAGGAGAGGGGAGGAGGGAGAAGAGGGAGGAGAGGGGAGGAGAGGAGATGGGAAGGGAGGAGGGGAGAGGATGAGGGAGGGGTGGAAGGGGAGAAGGGAGGGGAGGAGGGAGAGGAAGGAGAGAAGGGGGAGGAGGGAAGGGAGGGGAGAGAAGGAAGGAGAGGGAGGGGAAAAAGGAGGGTGGAAAGGGAGAGGAAGGAGAGGAGAGGGGAAGAGGGAAATGGGAAGGAAGGGGAGGGAAGGAGGGAGGGGAGGGAGGACAGGAAGGGGGCGTGGCTGACACAGGATCTCTGTGGGGAGGTGGTGGCAGGCCCGCGGGTGGAGCCTGTGGGTGGAGCCCGGGGCTGTGAGTGGAGCCCAGGCCTGTGGGTGGAGCCCGGGGCTGTGGGTGGAGCCCAGACCTGTGGGTGGAGCCCAGGCCTGTGGGTGGAGCCCAGGCCTGTGGGTGGAGCCCGGGTCTGTGGGTGGAGCCCAGGCCTGTGGGTGGAGCCC